TAGCAACCATCTGGCAAGAAGAAGGAAAGTCGACAGATTCTTGCTGTTAGAAAAGGCAACACAGCACATTTTCCCCAGAATAGCCTATTCAGCGGTTTTCCTTCCTTCCTTCCTTCCTTCCTTCCTTCCTACTGCTGCCTTTTTTTGAAAACCTTGCCATCTTTTGTAAGCAAGCCATAACTTGAAACCTAGCCATACGTGTCATCTGGATTGGCCTGCAGGCGATGGATGTTTTCAAGCTCTCCCTGGAGAACCTTTCGGGGTTGTTGATGTTTTTCTACTCCCCTTCCCCCGCTTTGCTTTTTCTCTCTCCCTGTTTCTTGTGTATCGGAGGGGGACGAGGACGAGCAGGAGAGAGACTAGCGGGATGCCGCGCCATTGCATGAAGAAGTGTCATCTTCAGATGTTAGGGGCCACTCACCTGCACACAAAGAAGGAAGGCGGGGAAAACCGGGAAGGAGGAAACGGGTTAGCCTTCATCCACTTTGGTTTGATCCCTGTAAGACGCAAACCAGAGGTGGGAAAGCGAAGGCGTTTCAAAAACAAGGGAGTGACAGAGAGACTCTAGGGAGGCTTGCCCAGCTATGAGACTTTTTAATTGGGGCAAAATGAGACCACAAGTGATCCCAACTGCCAAGATGTCATCACAGATGTCTTCGAAATTTTATCTGGAAGTTTATTGCTAACCAAGGGACGTGGTGGCGCTGCAGGCTAAACCGCAGAAGCCTCTGCTGCAGGGTCAGAAGACCAAGCAGTTGTAAGATCGAATCCACACGACGGAGTGAGCGCCCGTCCCTTGTCCCAGCTCCTGCCAACCTAGCAGTTCGAAAGCATGCAAATGCAAGTAGATAAATAGGGACTACCTCGGTGGGAAGGTAACAGCGTTCCGTGTCTAAGTCGCACTGGCCATGTGACCACGGAAGATTGTCTTTGGACAAAACGCTGGCTCTATGGCTTGGAAACAGGGATGAGCACCGCCCCCTAGAGTCGAACACGACTGGACAAAAATTGTCAAGGGGAACCTTTACCTTTACCTTTATTGCTAACCACCAGCCTAGGCACTGAAATATCTCTGGCTGAAAAACGTGTGGGCTGTTTCGGATGCCGAACAGGTGGACAGGTGACTCTGCAGTGGTGCACAAACATGGATCCAAAGCAAAGATTCTCATAGTTTTTATGCAGGGTCTTCCCCCAAACACTGTCCAGTGGCTCTATTTGTGCCAATACATGAAAACTCAGAAATCCTGGGTCCCCCAGCGCATAGGTTTGCAGTGCTGCAAAAATATGGATCCGACATAGGGATCCTCTTGGATTCACATGATTTTTATGCATGGTCATCCCCAAACCACTGAATAATCATCAGTCCTATTTGCAGCCAAAGACTAAATGATGGAAATCATGGGGCCCCCAGCACATAGCTTTGCAGTGGTGCAAAAACATGTATCCAATGCATAAATCCTCATGGATCCACATGATTTTTCATGCCAAATCGTCCCCAAATCACTTGTCAGTGAAAGGAACCATCAGTGCCCAAAGACTAAAACCTAGGAATCATGAGTCTCTCAGCGCATGGCTTTGCACACAAAGCTGACACACAGATCCTCATGGATCCACACAGTTTTTATGCAAACCACTGTCCTGTCATAGGGTCCATTTGTGCCCATACATTAGCACTCAGAAATCATGGGTACCCCAGTGCATGGCTTTGCAGTGGTACAAAAATATGGATCTGACATAGGGATGCTCATGGTTCCACATGATTTTTATGCAGGATCACCCCCAAACTAATGTCCAATCATAGGCACCATCTGTGCACACAGACTAAACCACATAAATCATGGGTCCTCAAGTGCATGGCTTTACAGTGGCACAAAAACACCAATCTAAGGCACAGATCTGTGGAAACAGATGAGGCTGATGATTGTTCAGTGGTTTGGAACTGGTCTTGCACAAAAATTATATTGATCCATGAGGATTCGTAAGTCAGATCCATATTTTTGCACCACTGCAAAGCCATACACTGGGGCATCCATAATTTCTTTCTTATAATGTATGGGCACAAATGAAGCCTATGACTGCACAGTGGTTTGGGGATTATCCTATATAAAAACCTTGTGGATCCATGAGAATTCATATGTCAGATCTATGTTGTTGAGCCACTGCAAAGTCATGAGGTGAAAACCTCACAATTTATGAGTTTGAGTCTTTGGGCACTGATGGTTCTTATAATTGGACAGTGGTTTGGGGATTATCCTGCATAAAAATCATCTGGCTCCATGAGGATTCATGCTTCAGATCCATGTTTTTGCATCAATGCAAGGCCATGTGCTGAAGGACCCATTATATCTGTGGTGTAAATGGGATCTATGGACTGGCAATAGTTTAGGGAGGACTACAGTACATCTAAAAATCATATGAAATCATGCGGATCTGTGCTTCGGGTCCATGTTTTTTGTGTCATGGTAGAGTAACGCACCCAAGGACCCATGGTGGAGTTTGTGGGCACAGATGAAATCTATGATTTGATGGTGATTTGGTTAGGATCACACACACAAAAAAATCATATGGTATCATCACAATCTGTTCTTGATTTTATGGATCCATCTTTTACCCAGACCCATGAAGGTCCTTTAATTGAACCCAAATTCACCGTGCCAGCTCCTCCTGCCTTCCGGGACCCAAATGCTCTCCTTGGGCCACTAGCTTGAGGAAAAAGCTGTTTTTTATCGCTTACTCTTTAAGAGTCTTCCAGCTTCCCACAGACACCCGTGTCTTTTTTTTGGCAAGGTCGCTTGTAGGAAATCCATTGTTTTAGGAAAGCATCCGTAAACTAAAAGCACCCGTTAAGAACTAGACTCTCTTTCTCTCTGAATTTAAAAGAGGAGCAGTCACCTGGGCTCGGTGCCCTGCATCCCACGCTCACTTCCAAAGCAGTCGGCTTGGGCTATTACGCCAGGCTTACTTGGGAGTAACACTCTGTGGTATTCTGAATTTCGAAGGGGCATCGCGGGAGATCCTCCCCCCCGCCCACTTTCTTTTACAGTTCCCGGCCGAGAGGGGATGATGTTAGAGGAGAAAAGTCGGCCGGGGGGGGGAGGGGATGAAAACCTCTGCTACCCCTGCGTGGCGGTCCCGATCTCCCACTCACTTGGAAGGAAAAGAGAAAGTCAAGCTCAGAGGCTTTGCTTTCGTATTTCCCCGCAAGCTCGTCGTTTCCATTGGAGCTCGATGGCTCTTTTGCAGACAGGACCAGCTCGTTACAGAAGAGAAAGAGGAGGGCGGGAGGCGCTTTGGATCCGGCTGTTGATCACCAATCAATTTCTGATAACCACTCATTGATTTTGCTTCGCAGTGCTTTGCGGGGGGGGGCTCTTACTTTTATTTGCTACTAGATTGAAGAATCGGGAATCTCGTGCCCTGCGACTCGGTTCCAGCTCTGCATCAGCTTTCGGAATCAGCAGGTGTCGGAAGAGGTGGAAGGGGGGGGGCGGAGGCGGAGGAGTGGCGGCCGGGCAGAAGAGCTGGTGCCTGGACTCCCCCCCCTTTTTTTTCTTCCCCTTCCCTCTCTCTAATCTACCGCCTGATTCTTTTCCATCACCGCTCCCTCNNNTCCCCCCCCCCCCCCCCAGCCTTTGCTGCTCTTCCTGCGTGGATGCCGCTGCCAGTCGGAGAGGGAAAGAAGCGGCGGTGAGACTGCAGCCTGGGGAACCCCTGCGCACGCGTGTCTCGCTGTGCGCGCCCGCCCGCCCGTGTGCAAGAAGCGGGGATTGCGGACTTTGCCCTTGGCAGGAGCTGCTGTGCACAACCAGGAGCGGGGGTGCGGTGGGGTGGGGGAATCCGCCGCTTCGGGCCATCGCCTCCCCTGCTACCCCCCCCTCCGCGCCCCCTTCCTTCCCGTCCACCTTTGCTGGCGCTCGCCCTCGCCTCCGCGTCTTCTGGCAGCGCTTCTCCTCCCTCCCGGCTTTGGGATGGTGTCGTGATGGGGAGGAAAGAGGAGGGGAAGGAAGGGAAGGGCTCTCCGCGGGGGGGAGAGCAGAGGGGTGGGAAAGCGAGACCCCTCGCCTCCTCGCCTGTCGGGGCAACGATCCGAGGAGGCCGGCCTTCTCCCCGCGGCCGCCGGATTCCCGGCTAAACTTTTATTGCAGAGCCCGCGCATCCTCCGCTTCTCCCGCCTCCACACCCCACACCCCCCCAAAAAGAGGAATCATCCGCCGACGCTTTCGGAAACGAAGGGAGACTGCGACTCCTGGAGCGAAGATCCCTTGTCAGCAACACAACCGTGGGGAGAAGACAGCGGAGGAGCGGAGAAGGACCCACCTCCTGCTTTGGGACGGCCGGGAAGGAGACGCCCCTTTCCCCACTAATCACCCCAATCCACGGCTTTCTAGGCTCCATCTCCACCTCGCTCCGAAAAATAATAATAACAACATAGCCAGGCTTCTTGTCCGGGACTGTAGAGGCAGAGATTTCTCTCCTTCCTTCTTTATTTTCTTCTCTCCCCCCAATCCTCGCCAGTCTCGCC